GTTGCGAAGTGGAGCAATTAAGTCAATCACAAGTGCCGTCGTGTCGCACCTTGTCGACACTAATCACATTGTAAACGTGACCGAAGCGTTCCGACCCCTGTATAGAGTTAAGACGGGATGGTCTAGACACGTGCGGTTTCGCATTCTAGCCACAGCGGAGGCAGTTTCCATCCGTCTTCACAACCCCCCTCTGTGTGCTCAGAAACAATTTGTGCAAGCACTCAAGCTCCCATGGCCGGATCGCCGACAGGTCACTAAATTCTCATCATGCTCCCAGAAAGGAAAACTGGATCCCAGTATTAGAAATGGAGAACTCCCTATTAAACACATTTGTGATGAACAGCGGAAGGGGTGTAGTGTATAGTCGCAAAGACCAGAATTTCAGTGATGGATGCCAACAAAGCGAGAAGAGAGTGAATCATTTTTCATACAGATTTTCTCTTGTAAAGATGCGTGAACAGAGCGTAGTATCTATCTATCTAGCGCAACCTAGCGTAATACCTAACGACGAGACTGCACACTGATATGGTGTGATTTCTTGTGCACCTCTGTGACCCAACGAGCTAAACAGGATGGCTTTTGTTAAGCCGGGAGATCTTATCATGCCTGGAAGGTCAATGGGCCAGACGAAGTAACGTCTCCTGGTCCTCCAGGTTGGGGGTTTGACTGAAATTTGCGTTTCAGTCGGTAAAAAACGGTGGAGGAGTAATCGATTCAAGTAAATGGGCTGCGTGTCGAAGACTCGAAACCAGGATCCTACTACTATAAGCCACTTGAGCGAGCTAGGTTTGTCTTCTAGTTACGTTCTTTACACATCGGGCGACGATGAAGCTCGTTCGGTAGGCCACCGCGGGGTAGGTATTGTACTCAGTAACAGGGCGGAGTCCTTTCTTATCGATTGGATCCCTATCAACCGTCGGTTATGCGCAGTGCGTCTCCAGGGTTCAATCAGCGTCCGGAAGGGAAGCAATACCAAAAGGTGTTTGTTCACCGTATCAGTATATCCACCGACAAATTACAGTTCTGATACCCTTAAGGACGCTTTCCAGTATGAACTCACCGATCTCATTCGGATGAGTGGAAGCTCCGACATAGGTGTACTTGCAGGTGACTTCAACTATCAGGTTGAAAAACTGGACGCATCAGAAGCTTGCCTGGGTGGTAGTTATGTTCTGCCCAGCCAACGAACAGATAACGGCGATCGACTTCTTCAGGTCTGCGCAGATCATCATCGGTTCCTATCCATCATCAACTTCCGACATAACTCTCGACGGACGGCAACGTGGTGCTCCAGTTCAACTGGTACGCTAACTCAAATAGACCACATCGCAGTAAGTTACCGTTGGTGTGGCTCAGTGAAAAATTGCAGGTCCTATTGAACTACCTGCGTTGAGTCTGATCACGTATTAGTTTGATGCAGTTCACTCTCCGACTGACTGGTCGGCGACAAAACCAGTAAACTCATATAGCTCATTATAGACTATCTGTTCTAGCAGTTCGAGTGCGCTATAAATCAGAGCTAGTGCGGGAGCTAAGCGCGCTTCAGCGTGATGATATAAATGAGCAGTGGGATCAGATCAGGCGAGCAATGCATTCCGCAGCGAATGTTGCTTGTGGGTCTGAGCCTCAAGCCCGTCGGAGGCATGGGATATCTCAAGAGTTAGTAGCCTTGCTGGAGAAAAAGCGACAAGTCCCGATCTGCCAGGATCCAAAACAGAGTTAGGTGTCATCTATAACGTCAGCTTACGAAGAGCCTCAAGAAGGACCGTGAGAACTGGTGGGCAACAATAGCTAGTGAAATGAAAGTAGCATCAGGGAGTAGTCAAAGACTGTTTCGACTAATACGCAATACGGGAGGTCGGCGAACTACAATTGTGAAACAGTCCGTGATAAGATGGGAAAAGCTTTTCATAATCGGGTTGAACGACTTGATCACTGGGCAGAATGCTTCAGCGAACAGTTTAGCTGGTCTGCCTCATCCGCAACTGCAGCTCCTTGGGCAGTGTCGTGCGATCCTCCAACGAAAGCAGAAGTTCGGTCTTGCATTCAGGCTCTGAAGCGAGGAAAAGCAGCAGGACCAGATGAGCTCCATTCCACTCTTTTCGAGATGGGCGATGATAACCTTGTAAGCTGCATTGCTACCTTACTGCGCAAAATTTCGAAGCAAGAGCATTCCTTCATC